ATAGTTGGGCTCGTCATTTAAACCTTTATGCCGTAAAGTAACTTTGAATCCATTAAATTGCCCTTGTCCTCTGCATTTAATTTGTAGCTTTGTGTAACCGGTAAGATTGTATGTTTGAATAGCTCGTATTCCAGCAAAACCGGCTCCATTTAATTGAGGATTTAAAAGAGCAAAAAATATAGCTCGTCTGAATCCAACATTTTTGTGAATAACAAAGATGGCCTTGGACATGCCGACATCTCGTACGGTATCCGATTGTTCTTGCCAGACGTCTACGTCACCATCCTTTGTGAAATCAAATAAATACTGCCCGTCATCGTGTTGACTTGTGCTGTAAATTTAAAATAAATTATCATTAGGCACCTTTTACCTTCCTATTATACAAGTAGGTATTACCTAATATTATACCATTATATTCACAGAAAATATTATATCTAGATTTATAATTAACTATATTATACTGATGGCGTAATATCCGCTGGCAAAGATACTGTAGGTACTATATGGGTACCGTACTAAAGGATTTAGGTAGGTATAGATAGATTTTTAACTTTGAAACCGAAAATTAATAAAATAGGAGTAACACTGCGCAGTTATAATGGGGAGCAGAAATAATTAATAGAATAATCAAAATTCCAACAAATTAATAATAAAACTTTCAGTGCCTACACTTATTATTTGTTAAAGGTAGGTGTGTAGGTACTTAACTTTCACTGTCAGATGCGTCGTTTAGATCTATTTCACTGACTCCACACGTGTTACTTTCGATAGCAGCCATTTTGAAAGTCAGAGGTTAGCCTATCAAGCGTGGACTCATTTTGATATAATTTAGAACGCGTAACATATTACAATAAGTACATATTCGGGTTGACAGCTGCTCTTCTTGAGACCTATTTTTTGTAGGTATTTTAAATATGGAACAATTTTCCAACTGACATACACTGGTGGATATCATTTGGGTATTGATCTTTAAGTAAAATAAATAAACATTGACAATGAACCTCACAATCGATAAAAACTTTAGAGGTGTCTTTAAAATGAGATATTGAAAACAAAAGATAACTACCTATATGTACCTACATAGGTAGGTAAGTAGGTACCTACCTAGTTTACTTGTGATAAAATATTATTTTCTTAGTGTTAGTGCATTGCATACCTACAATATAGTGATTTTCGGATAAATATCTACGCAAAATGGATAAATAGGTACTAAAAACGGATAAATACTCAGTATTTACTCGACATTTGTCCATTTGGTTTGAGTACTTAGTTATCCGAAAAATCGCCCATCTTGGTCATAACGAAACCTGTTCATTTACCTAGGTACCTAATTGAACACCTAGGTTCCTAACCTACCCATAATTGCGTAACAACTAATAACTGTTAACCTTTTTACTTAATGATTTTTAATTTTGAACACATTTTTTTTTAAGGGGGACTCATCGAATGACTGCTCCCGTCTCGGTGAGGTGGGAGGGAGTGTCAGACTCTTACTTTGACTAAAAACCACCCCGTTCCTTCTCCTGCACGTCGAGCCGGAGCCCCGGTAACCCGTTAGATTCTTCGCGACATTTTGAACACACTACAAACTGAATTTTGTGGAGAAATAGGAATTAAAAATTTTATTTAGGTAAGTATGTTCTGTTATTTAGAAGATATTCTACGGATACATTTTAGATAGGTAGGTAGGTATATTAGGGAAGATACGTCATACTATTCTATGGTACCTAATATTAGGTGGGTAAGTACCTACCTACCTACCTACTTTTTTAGAAAAGAAGAAAGAAAATCATCAACTGACTCCGCCCACACCCGGGAGGAATCTCAAACTCTAAAAATATTAAACACACCCAGTAATAACTCCTATCTTGTGACACGGCCCACGGATAGCCTGGCCTGCAAGTAACTCCGCAGGAAGTATGTAGATACCTACCTAAACCTAGCAGGACTAGTACTACCCAAAGTAAGTGCCTTGTAGTTGGATCCAAAGTTAGGCAGGTAAGAATTATAATATTGTAATTACCAACAAATCTCATAGCTCACTTTTCTAATATGGAAACGATACCTAAATAAATGATTTAAATATTTCACTAACCTGTTATCACATACGCCATAAAATAGTGCAAAACAAAGAAATAAGTAAATACATATCACTTTATCATTTAACATTTTAAATTAAATATTACGAATAAAAATTATTTAAACTGCTATTGCTTCAACTACACCGTATCAAATACTTACTAATAACTACTCGTACGAATTATCTGGTATTACATTTATTTGAATAAACAAAATGAATTTATATAGTAATATTGAACATTTGACACTGTTATCTTTTAATAATGTTATTGACGTCTAAGAGTCTTGACTCTGATTTTACACCAATAAGCGTGCCATATCTTAATGTTTCGTAGAATGAAAATGTATATGTAGGTATTTATAAACACTAACTACTCGTTGAAGTCCCGTTACTTTGTCATTAACCCGGTAGTCGAATGCGACTATCGCGCAAGGGTCTCACTGTCTCAGGTTCTTTTCCCAGTTTGTAAACTACTGTACGCAGTTTACTGATAGTATTTTTCTAAAATTGTTATGATTCCTTTTTGGATCTTTTCATTGGTTCACATCTGGCGTGCGCACGAATTAAGAACAGCACGCATGATCATCACTAAATAGTATAAAACAAAGTCGCTTTCTCTGTCCCTATGTCCCTTTGTATGCTTAAATCTTTGAAACTACGAAACGGATTTTGATGCGGTGTTTTTAATAGATAGGGTGATTCGTAAGGATGGTTTATATCGAACAAGACTATCGTGCCAGACCCTGTCGAAGGCCTTCGAGACATCGAGCGATACAGCTAACGCTTCCCCGTGTTTCTCGATGGCCTCGCTCCAGATGTGGGTGGCATATGCAAGAAGGTCCCCAGTAGATCGGTTTCGGCGAAATCCGTATTGCTGATTACTAAGGATATCGTTACCTTCAAGGTATGCCAGGAGCCTGTTATTCAGTCTCACAGAGTTATTCAGTCACTCTTACAGAGTATGGACGTGACTGAGATAGGTCTGTAGTTATTAGGGTCGGCACGGCTACCGTTTTTAGGCACAGGTTGCACGTTGGCCAGCTTCCATGCTAGTATTACATATTAATACATATTATGTCAAAATGCTAACCACCTATCATTTGGAATTGTATGATGATTAATTATTATTATTATGCGTAAAAGACGTCCAGTAATAATAACAATAAGGCGTAATCTGTTACCTACCTTGAATACAGACAATAATGTTTCTATTAAGTAGGTACCTACTTATGCAATGTGCTGCACATTGCATTATGTGCATGAATCAGTGAGAAATTTAATTATACCACCCGACACTGGCAGTAGGTATAGTTGACAACATCGTATTGGAGATTCGGTTGACAAAGAAAAAAAAAAAATTATGTCGGTTCGGCTCGGTCGTTCCGAAATTGAACAGTAGTAGAGACATCAATCAGCGGTATCATGAAGTATCATGTTTGATCAATACACAGGCCATTGTTTGTTTTATCATGAATAAGTGCCAGTACAGACAACCAGTAAAGTGCGAGTCGAACTTGCGCACGTAGATTTTCACATCTATAGGTACTTATATTTTGTTGGATTTCTAAATTACAAAAAGACTGTGTTCAATTACAAATTAGCACAGTAGTTGATAGTTTGGCTGTTGCGCTGCGTGTGTACCTACTCTACCTAGCGTAGAATTAACTATGAGGTAGTTCGTAAGATAGGTAGTAAGTTTTAGTATTAGTAAAACGATGTGAATAGAACGGAGGGGCTGAATATGAATACATATTATAATTATAATAACATAACATCACGCCTTTTATCCTCGAAAGGGTAGGCAGAGGTGCACTTAATGCCATTGTACAATGTAACACCCACTTTTCACTATCTATGTTATGAGTCCCATCATCCCATGTAATACTGGGGGTAAGCCTATTGCTATATACCGGGCACAATTCCAGACTCCGTACTATTACTGAGATTTTTAAAAAAATACCTATTAATAAAACTTTTGGCCGACTCGGGAATAGAACCCGAGACCTCTTGCCAGACAGTCGCACTTGCGACCACTCAGCCAGCGTGGCAGTGAATATATAACAGTATTATAACTACTGCTCCGCTATTAGGCTATTACTGATTGTTTGTTGTGTAATGTTATACAGCCTACAGGCTTATTATATAAATCTACTATAAAACTCAAAAATATATATAATTATTTATCAAATACGAACCAGTACTTTAGGAGATTAGCGCGATTATAAACAAACAAACACTTTAGCATTATGTAATAAAATTAAAAAAAGAATTCTCTGCAAAGACATCATGGTAAAAACCATAAAATATAGGTCAGCAGTGGTACAATCACGGCTAGGAAAAAATAGTACAAAAAAACATACTTATGTATGTAACTGAATAATAATAATAAAACAAAGAGTTTTGATTAATACATATTTATTTCCCTCCACCAGTATTCACACTGCGCTTTAAAACGCCTACATTTCTGAGATATCGCACAATAAAAGGTGTAGCAGTGAGTGTTATAGCTATCCTAAATGGCGCAAAGAATTTGTGAACAGTATATGCTATAACAAAAGTGCCTGCATTTGATCCTGCTGCCTTCAAAATAGTGCCCTCACTTATGTTTAAATATTTTAGTACTGCAACTAAGTCGATGCCACTGAAAAAAAAAAAAATAGCTAATTAGCGATTACCATACAAATAATTTATTGAAATCTCTATAATTATTACGCAATAGTTATATGTATAAGATGAATGAATGGTGAATTAAATGAGATTGTTAAAGCAGTACAACATACCTAGATATTAGAAGATAGCAGCTCCCCAATGATATCAGGGAAATACCAATATGAAATACAATCACTGTTGAGCCATATTCTTTGATGGCTTGTTTTAACTTTTCTTTGGCACTCAGTGGTGGTTTTGAATCTGTACTCATATGTTTTATGCCAACAGCTATGCTTTGAAAAAAGGTAAACAGAATATTAACATCATGAAATTTAATTAAAAGTAGACATATTGACTTTCGGTTATAAGATATTTTTTAGATTCAGGAATTATTAGGGTCTATTTTATTTATAGACCATTATTACTTAAAAGTTACACACTACTTAAGTGCAACTGAATAATCAACTACAATGCAACAGATTTGTTGTGTTACTATTTCAAAATCAATTATTTTACTTCAAAACTATGACTACAAAAACAATTTTTAATAATTTTCTATCAAACAAAAGCAATGTATGAGTTGAGTTGGTTAGTTCGATGGGAAACATAGTAAACTTAAAATCAAGCCCAATATAATTATAATGTTAAATAAATTATTCATTATTGTTATTATTTTAATTTATAAAGCATCATGCACAGAAACAAGCACATGGGTGGACTTAATGCCATAGGTATTTCTCCCTTCAGACAGGGAGAAATGTCTGACCCTTGGGTGATACAAAGAAGAGCAGAGTAAACTGCGGGTGCAAGAAGCATTTTAGAAGAATGCATTCCTTTTACATGCTTATAAGTTCCTATATCTTGATCAGGTAGTTATTATAAAATATAAACTTGTATTAGTTATACAGTCATTTTACCCAGGCAACAAATATTATCATCATCACTAACAGATCATGTTAGTCCACAGCTAGACTATAGGCCTCCTCTACATAATATTGTTGAGAGTGCCATAATGCCCTGCTGGTTTGAAATCCCACTTCATAAGGGTCAGGTTTATCAAAGAGTGCTGCAACCAGCAAGTTTGTTACAGTTACAACTAACCAGCTGTGTGTTGTGTGTCAGTGCATTTTATTGTATTATCATCGTCACAATAATATCAATATACTATTGGCTACATACCGTCTTTCGTCATTCTGGAACGATACTCATTTCTTAGCGTCAAGTAATGAGCACCATGAAGATGATCAGATAAATATTTGTACCCTTGGCCCCACTGTGAGCCTGGCATATTTAGATGGGTATGGTTTCCACTGAAGGGGCTGGGAACATT